TTAAGCAAAGAATTATCGAGACAGTCAGACCTTTAAAAAAGAACATTTCAGTAACAGAAAGGCAGACTAGAAAAGATAGCAATTCTGGAAACCAACATGAAAATAATATGAAATCTAGTTTTAACATTCTAAAAGTCTCTTACTATGACAGAGTACTGTAATTTCAGTAGTAACTGCAGATAAAAAGCTTGAAGATTTAAAAACATGAAGCTGGGAGTTATTTTCAAACACAATAAAATAGGTTTTAAAAATTCAAATATTTTAAAAGTATCTTCTAAACTTAAAAGATACACTGGTAATTTTTTTTTTTTGATTAACTGGTTCTTTATAGTGAAGCACTGAAGGAAAAATCTTCAACCTTTTATTCACTATTGATTTATCTATAAGCAGTACAGACAAAATAAAGCCCTTCAATTTTCCCTCAACTCTTATCATCCTCTAAACAGTACCTTGTATTTCTTTTCTTAATAGCTCAAACTTTTAAAAGCATGAATCTACTTTCACCACTTTTACTACTACCTACTAGCTCGACAGAACAAGGAAATCACTACACCTGCCTTGGCACAAATAAACCAATGGAGTGTTTGATAAATTTTCTTCTACTTAATCTCTGTGAAGCATCCAACTAATTCCTTCAGCTCATTCCTCTTTCCTTTATTTGGAAGCATCTAGCTCTCCATAATGTTGCCCTTTCCTCCACCAAGCTCTTAGATGTTAACATATACCCAGAAGCTTTTCTGGTGGCCTTTTCCAAGTAAAAGGGGCCATGACATCAAAGGCTCCGGACCCTTGTAACTTACAGTGGATAAAGTAAATGAAGAAGCCACATCTAAGTTCTTCAACTCAATTTCTTACTTGCACTATAGGCAGAAGGCTGGGAGCTGGACATGCCTGACCTAGAATCTTGACTACATAATCTCAAACTTATATTTTATAACCTAAGCCCTATCCCTGAGTTCAAAAAGACCAGGAGATAAATGCATATTTGGATTGTTTTGCCCCATACAGTGCTAATCTCACTAACTTGAATTTTGAAATTACACCACTAAACTACATTGAAGAATGGTGTCTCAAAAACAGCTGTGGAAATTGGAACCTGTATTTATTAAGAAGGTTACAAATATCTTGCTTTTCTCTTATATGTTCTTCACAGAGTTCCATGAGAAACATTTTTTATTCTAAGGACACCGTGATTTATACCTGATCATACTTTCTTCTTTTCACTGCCAGGAAACAAAAACAAAATGTTAGCCTTCCTCTGACACCTGCATTAGACCTTAAAACATATTCCTTTTTTGTATAGATCACTACTGAACTTACTGATGACTCTGAAAGAAATATCTATAAAATATCACCTTGACCCCTTGTTTCACTTCAGTTTCAGGTGCCCAAAGTCAATTTTGATCAAACAATATTAAACAAATGCATCAGAAATAAAAAGTTAAACCTCATATTATTCTGATTAAACTCAAGTCATCTTCTTCTATCCTGCTCTGGAACATTCCATCTGTTCAGTGTATCCTAGCTATATATGCTACCCACCCATATTCACATAGCAAGGTCCAATTAGCTGTCCCAGAAATGCAGTTCTTGTGTTCAGTCATCCTGATTTTATTTAATAATGGCCCTAATATGCAGGAGTAGTCTCAGAGAATGCTGAAGTTCCAAGACTCAGTTTACTTATTTCCCATTATTATCATTAACAAGAATATAAAGTTCAGACTTCTCTTTCAGGTATAAACATTCTATCTATATTGCTGTAACCTGAAATAAGTTCTACCACAGAATTTGTTGTAATGAGCTTGTGATTTAAAGTCAAATCAGGGGGCTGGGGATTTAGCTCAGTGGCACAAGTGCCTGCCTGGCAAGCACGAGGTCATGAGTTCAATCCCCAGTACTGCAAAAAAAAAAAAAAGATAAAATAAAATACAGTCAAATTAATAGAATTTTTTGTTTTGGTCTTATATTTAGCGCCTTAAAAACTAACCTTTTAAATTCAGCCCTGTATACAACCATAGTCACAAATATTAAGTGCTTCAAGAAGTATTTTAGCAACCTGACAGCAACCTGAAAGGTACCCATATAAAAGAAACCTATTTAAAATTCAAATTTAAAAAGTAAAGTTTCATGGATAATCATTCAATTTAAGAAATATTACTGAATAGTTTTCCGACATGTAAAGTAATTCAGGTGATAGAAATTTAATAGAAATTTAGTATTTCATTTTTCATAAATTGCTTAAACCCCCACACACACATACAATATATGCTATAAAACTTTGACAAAAGTCTATGGCTGATATTATAAGACCCTAAAGGTCTAAATTCGGAGTACAAGAACTGCTGACTGCCAGGTCAGCACCAAGATACAGAAGCTGTCATCTGAGCAAAACTGTTTCCTTCACCACTTCCACTGCTGCTGTCAGCTACCACCACTGTCCTAAAAGGGGTGACTGAGGACTACACAGGAGACAGAGGGGTCCCCTGTCTCCAGGACTTCTCACAACCCAAGGGTAGAGGAGTTGTACAAAGGGACAGGGAGGGTAGGGTTCATGAAAGAGATCACGCCCGGGCTCCACTCCAAATCTGACCCTGAAGGGAATAGGAGCAGAAGACCATATTAAATGTGAGATCCAAATTTTAAAATAAAGATAATGAGTTTTGAATAATATTGCTTTAGTTGCTGAAGATAAATGAAGCAAAAATATGAATAGAGCACAACTCTGTTTTTTAAAGGATCCTGTCACCAATTAAGAAAATAAAATTCATAAGAGTTTGATAGAAACTTTTACATTAGAATAACTTGACACCAATCAAATCTATAGAGCTGTATTTATTTAGCACCATATGATCTAGTAAAGTGAACACTTTTAAAGGCTATACAGTGTGGGGCATGGTCCCACCAAAAACCAAGTAAATCTTGAAAGTATAAAAAAAATGTTTTAATCCAATCCCAGAGTAAACAGGAGTAAACAGGTAAACAGTGTACCACCTCCCACTAGTAACTGTTACCAACTAGGCCTAGGTCTCAATGCTTTGGTCTTGATGCAGCTCTTCTGGGGCCCTGAACACAAAGAACCCACCCTCAGAGGACTGCAGCGAAGCAGCCAGGAGCTGCCAAGGAAGCAGCGCACTAAAGCTCCAGGAAGTGGTTTGCTTGCAGAAAGGATAAGATGGGAAACACTTGATCAAGTTTGATCTGGTCAGTCCTTCATCTGTCTGTCACAAGTAAACTCCTTTAACGTGCCACCACGAGGGGGGCAAGTTCATAAACCAGGAAAGCGGTGTGAAGTGACAGAAAATATCTACAAGAGACATTGCCTCAGTACATGGGGTTGCTTGGGATTTAAGAAAGGGTAACAGCAGGAAACTTGAGAGCAACTTTATTAAAAATGAAACTAAACTAATGTAAGAGCAGTCACAGCACAAAGAACAGAAGAAATCTTTCAAAACTCCTTACAGAAACTCATTCTGAAGAGCACAAATGCAAGGAGCAAGCCCTACAGACAAATAAATGTACCTAGACACAAAGTCCAAGAACAAGGACTCTTACAGCATGCAATGGCTGGCTACCAACTGAGGTAGAATCATTTACTTTTTACACTTCTCAAAAGTGAGAAAACTTGTTAGGTGCATACCGATTATCCCAGCTACTCAGGACGCTGAGGCATGAGGATCGAGTTCAAAGCCAGGCTCGACAATTTAGCGAAACTTTTTCTCAAAATACAAAATAAAATAAAAAGGGTCAGTAATGTAGCAAGCCCCAAGCTTCAATCACCATAAGTGAAAAATAAAAATAAAATAAGAGAAAAACCTAGGGAAGCCGTGCCTATTCTTAACTACTGAAGATACTACTATCAAATATTGCTACGACACTTATTTCTGGAACTCCTTTCAGAGTTTCATATTATAACATCCTGGACTTACAATATTTTCACCAGTAAATGCTATTTTCTAGCTGGACTAGTCCTGCTCAAGGGAGCACGCCCTGGACTGAGAACCTGAGATCCCATGCAACCCGAGCCGGCTCCTACGCAGCCTGAGGCAGGCCTAAGACAGGTGAGCCGTCCCAGGGAGGTCTTCAGGAAGGTAAAGTCCCATTCTGTGACATCACAAGGCCTCGGTGACCTGACAGAACTCAGGGGCGCCATCTCCACTGACAAGAACGCGGAGAGTCCTGGGCAGCCCCAAGGCAGCAGGATCTGCTCCACGCGCGCAGCCGCGGCCGCAAGCCGCTCAGAGCCGGCACACAGCCCCGAGCGAGCCATCCCCGTCCGGCACCCTCCAGCCAGCCTCGGCACCCAACGGCTGCCACCCCGCGACGTCCCCAGCGCTCGGCCAGAATCTCCCGCGCTCCCCGGCCGGCAGCCTGTGGGCGCAGGAGTTCGTGGCCCCCGGAAGGAGCCTACTCCACGGCCAGCTCGGAGCGGGCTCCGCGCACGAACCCGCGGCGTCCCCACCGGGGCGGTCCACGCCCGCGGCGCTCGCCCTTCCCCCGCTGCGGCCGGGCGAACTCACACCCGTCCGCCGGCGCGAGTCAACCTTGTACCCACGGAGCGCGGGCCGCCGGGTCCGGACACGCAGCGCGGCCGTCGGGGTCGCCGCGCCCGACGGGGAAGGGCCGGAGACCGCATCGCCCCGCGCCCTGAGGGCGGCGGGCGGAAGGAGGGAGGAGGTGAGGGGGGAAGTCACTAAGGGGAGAAGAAGGGCGGGCGGGCGCTCACCCGGGACCTCGGGGCGCTCGTCCCGCGTCGCCGGCCCCCGCGGCGCCCACAGGCGCGAGGCCGACCCCCGCAGCAGGCGCTTCCCGGTGCGCGCCGCCTGCGACTCCATGCTTGACCAAGCGGGCCTGCGGGACGGCGCGGCTGACGGGCCTAGGGGGCGGGACGGCGCCTGCGGGGCGGGGCTTAAACCGACCTAGCGGGCCTGATGGGGCTGAAGGAGCGGGGCGGGGCCTTAGGGGGCGGGAACTCGGGAACGGGGCGGTGCTTGAGAGAGCGGGAACTGAAGGACCGCGAGGCAGCCGGCTTGAGGGGCGGAAAGGGGAGGAGCCGCGGGGCGGGGCGGGCGGCCCACGCTCCCAGGAGCGCCTGGGAGGGAGAAGGAGCGGGAGCGAGGGCGGAGCCCTAGGTCCGCTCGCGGGGAGGCGGGGCGCGGATAAAACTCGGCGGGAAGTTTCCTCGCGGCCCCGCCTTCCGGCCTGGAACAGTGCCTCCCTCGGGGACGGGCCCGGGCGGAGAGGCCGCGGCGCTCGGTCACCCCGCCTGTCGGACCCCGGTGACTCCCCCGCTCGAGACCCGCCGCTCGGCTGCGCGCGGGAAAACGTGTGAGCGCTCCCGCCGAGCAGGCCTCAGCAGCGCGCCCGGCAGGACGGCGGGCAGCGCCGCGCCTCGGGTCCGCCGCGGCGTCTCAGGAGCGGAGCCCTCGCCTTTGGGACCAGCGCTTTGAAGCCCTTGGGCAACTTCAGTGACGACGCCCACTCCTGATTTCCTGGATCGAAGCGCCCTTTCGGGCGAGTTTTCTGTCTGGGGATTTGCTAGTGTGCGGTAAGCATATCCCAAGGGTCGTCTCAAGTTTTTCTCACGCCAGAAATTCCGTGTTTACATCCCACATCCAGCCTCAGGACAGCTGCACGTAGCTTCGTCTCCTTCCGGCTCCCCAAGGCCAGAGCTGCTGCGGAAAATGTGTCACCCGGGTGACTGAGCGCCTGCCTGAGCACTCAGGGCCCGAAACCCGTGTTCGCACAGTCAGCATGCGTTTTTGGCCCCGCGTGCCGTCTGGCTGTCACATCCGGCAGAAACACCGAATTGTCTAAGCGCGGCGCGTTTCCTGCTGCGTGGCCCAGAAAACCGCGGCCCCCGAATCCCGGCGCGCTTCTCGCTGCTCTCCCTGCTCCCCTGCGCAGCCCTGCCCTCCTCTACCGGTGCCTCGGGGCTGGGTCTGGCTGCACACCCCTGCCTCGCCCGCCTGGGTAGTCTACAGTCCTGTTCTCTGCCTCCACTAAAGCTCCCCCCTCCTACTGAGCCTGAATAGCCACATAACGCCTTGTGGCTCTTACAAGTTTCCTGATGTACCATATCTGCATCTGTAAGCTACCTTTGGCCTCACTTTTAAAGCAGCTTTATTGCTATATAATATATACCATAAAATGCACCTGCTAGAGTACACAGTTGTGAAACCAACACTTGCTCTTGAACATTCACACCATCTGAAGAAAGCTCTTTCCCCTTTGTGGCTATTCCTTCTTACTTCTTGCAGCCTAAGCAGCCTTTAATCTACTTCCTGCCTGTGGATTTGCTTTTGTAGACGTTTCCTATTAGTGCAGTCCTACAGGGCTGAATTCGGGGCCTAGCTTCTTAACATAGTTTTTCTCAAAGTTTTCATATTGTAGCACATACTGGTTTTTTTCCCCTGCCAAATACTGTTCCATAGATATGTGACATTTATTCATTGGTTGGTAGGCATCTGAATTGTTTTATGGATGTTAGGAAAAATGTTGTGAGGTTCTATGTATTTAAGATGTTTTGTAGACGTTTCACTTGAGTGTATATACATAGGAGCATTACAGTGTCATTTACCTAATCTACAGATTCAATAATTCCCTATTAAAACTGCAGCCATTTTCTTTGCGGGTAGAGAAAACCTCATCCTCTTGCAAGGAGCCCTTTTTATTTTTTGAGACAGGGTCTCACTAAATGACCTTTCTGTCTCAGCTGAGCCTAAACTGGGGATCCTTCTGCTTTAGCTTTTCAGAATTATTTTTATGCAAAAAGAATACTACATTCAATTACTTTAAAACCCCAGAAGTAAATCACCAAAAAACAATGATTTGTGATTTGTATATTATTGGGTTAAATTGTTCATATTTGAAAGAACTATTCTGGTTAGTCCCGTTTAACTTTCTCTCTCCTCAGTCTCTTTGTTTCTCTCACAACTTCACTGTTATCAGTCATGCTGTGCATCAAGCTAAGCTCAGTCTCACTTCCTTATCTTTTTTTGTGATGATTCCATCAAAGGGCTTGTCTATTAATAACTACCTCCTGGCATACTTTCTGGCTCAGTAAAACTATTAGAAGTAGCTGCAATCTTATAGTCATTTTTTGAAAATACCTTTTAATGCCAATAAAATTGCTGAATCTTAGTAGGGGTGATATGATTTAAACTGGAAGCAGAACTACTATATGTATCTTAAGAAACTAGGGAGAGATGGGGCTGGGAGCACATACATCTGCAAGTCTTTAAGCAAAATGGGAGAAGTAAAACCTCATTAAAAGATTAACTTGGAAAAGAACCACCAGAGCAGAGTGAAAAACTAGTTTTTTCAAATCAAGATAACCACCTTTAGCCCCCTGGCTACTGTTTTGTGAGACAGCAATGTCAGCATCAGCACTCAAATCTGGTAACTGGGACAACTGATAGACTCACAGTGCAGACTGTCAAAGAGAGGGTGGAAGTGTTAAGAAATAGCAGAGCCACTAGGCAGGCAGACCATGCGGAGCTGTCAGGAAGGCCAAGGCCTATCTCGGCAGATGGCCAAATGGGTCACTCTTGACTTCAACTCTTTAAAGCCTGTGCACTTTTCCATTAAAAGGGTTACCACAGAGTCCCTTTTGTGTGTCAACACTACCATGGAAAAGAAGAGCAGATTTGACTATAACCAACATTACAGCACTGAAGAATAGATTTAAAATGGTCTCTCCAGATTAGGAAAAAACTAACACTGATCACCCATTACATCACTTGGGGCAGCACGTTTGGTTACATATAGACTATGCCAAGTGTCGCTCAGGCAGGTGTCATTTTTGTATTGAATAAATTTGATAAAATTGTTTTTATATGTTATAAAAATTAATAAAAATATATAATTTTTGATCACCCTGTATTTAAATAATTGGAATGTTAAGTAGTTAAAATAATTCCCCAAGAAGATGCCAAACCTGGATATCATCACTACAAACCCTATTAAACATCAAGTAACTTTTTAATTCTGAAAACTGTCTAAAAACTCTAACTCCCTCATTTGACAGAAAAGCGTTGCATAGCCAAACAGGAACCCAGCAATACCATCATTAAGGATTGTAATTAAAACTTAGGTCACAATAACTCAGATCAACTTACCATAGAATTATTTCAGCACTATTTTTATATCTCATTGAAGGTGGTAATTACAACTATATAATTACATCCCAAAATAACCCATACCTGGAATGTAGCCGGTTCTGGCTTTGGGATCAGTTTCCCTCATCTCACTGAGCACACACCACACAGTATCGCTATGTGTGCCTCAAATTGGGAAAATACAAAGCTCAGCTAATCTGCCAGAAAAGCAGCTACATGAAGAGATCCGACACAATCATTCCTATCCACCTTAGATTGTATTTCTGCCTGTCCTTGCACAGAGAGAGAGAGGAGAGGGGAAAAGGGGATGAGAGAGTGTCTCTTGAGATAGAACCACATTCCTAGCCTTTGGGTGATTGGAATCTTCCAGGCTGTTTCTACTTTTTGTTTTCACTGTGCAATAGGTCTTCACATGTTGTGAGTTTTGATACCAATACTTTTTTAATCTTAAAAAGCTGATCAGAGGAACATTTGTAGTATAATAAAAGCTTTACTATATAAATTTTGGACTAATGTTTAAAGTTTTATAGCATTAAAACTCTTAGTTTTTAGGCTAGCATGATTGAAACAATTTTCCTGTCTGATTTTATTTTGTTTTAATATAATAGAAAAATGAAGTGAAAAAATGTAAAAGGCAAAATATTTAAGGAGAATCTGTGGCAAGTTATTAGATACTTTTATTGCAGAATGCAAGTTTCTAGCTTTAATGTTTAAGTAGTAATTAGGTTGTTTGAAGTTGTTCCCTCCTGTGGAGGGAAGATATGAACCCAGGCTTGAGCAAAAGGAAGCATGACCATAAAAATAGCCTATCTCTAAAGGGCGTGCTGGGTGGCATTGTTACCTCTTAATCTGTAGGACATTTGTTTCAGCCATGCTGCACAAGTGTGCAGAGATTCTTGATTCCCCACTTTCCCAAACTTAAAGTGCTGTTTAGGAGAGGTGCTAATAAGGCCTGGTGAGTCAGCCAAAGGCAGTTGGCAGAAGAGACAGCAAGATCTGGACAGGTCATCTTTAAATGACCCATTACCAACTAGACAGCTTTGATTTTTAAAAAGAATCCTACAAGCATTGCTTTCTTCCGGGGCTGATCTGATCTGTTCTCAGTTTCCCAGGAAGCAGCAGACACAGCATTATTCACCATATTCAAAACCCCAGGCTCTGCTGCTCACAGAGGCTTAAAGGAGAGTTTGGGGATGCCCAGCCACTTCTCCATAGAGAAGTACAGTGTGTCCATTCCCATCTAGGCAGTTGGAGGAGGCTTGACAGCCCACAGCATCAGCCTAAACAACTGCACAAGATGGGTTGGCAGCCAATTCACCTAACCTCCTGGTTTCCTAACAGGAAGGGGTGGGAATGAGATTCCTAAAATACACTGAGCAGTTGACAACAGCATCTTTAGGCTCTCTGATATAACTGGTCCTGCTAACTCATTGCATGATAGAGAAGCACATGGATTTGTGTTTGCTCATTAAGTACACATCAGGTGGGGAAGTGAAACTTTCCTTCTTCAGGTTCTAACTGAATGTTAGAACTTTCCTTCTTCAGGTTCTAACCTCCTTCTCCGGTTCTAACTCCTTCCCTCACTGCAGACCAGATAACCTTCTCACAGATCTAATTACTGCCTTGCCTTTAAAAACACACCATGTTCACAGGCAGTACTTCCTGTCAAAATGAAGATCTGTTGTGGAAATTTCTTTTTATGAAATGCAAATTCTCCAACTATACCCAGAGACACTGACTTCAGGCTTGCAGGATAAGGGAAGACTCAGGAAGCTGCATTTTTCACTTATAAGTTAAGTTTGAGATGTGCTGCTTTACAGTGCTTCCAAGCCATCTTGCATTTCAATTCATGAAACTGACATTCTGACCTCTTAAAGTAGGTATGAATTAGTTCTGGTGTGCACTGAGCAGAAGTCACATACATGTTTTCCACACAAGGGCAAAGAACAGCCAGTGTTTTCTTCTCCAGATGATCTGAAAAGATGCAGGAGCCTCCCCCAGCCCAACCCCTCAAGACTCGTGGGACTGGGGGTCCTGCACCCAACCGCAGGCAACAAGCAATGTGGGAAAGAAATACATCCATAAATGAACACTTAATACCACAAGTTCCTGAGGCGTGGGGGTTCATTCGGATCCATAACATAAACCTAGCTTACTCTAGTGCCAGAGGTGAGTTCAACCCCAGGTACCAAAACAGCAAAGCATATTTAAAGCTAGCTTACTCTGAATGATACAAAGTTTTACAAATGCTTGCCTTACACTTTTAATCATCTGATTCATGTTGTTAGATTAATATTTATTTCTCAGGCATCCCCCATTTCTCTATTCTGAAAAATATTGTGAGGTTGTAAGACTTTTTTATGTATGTAAGAATCTTTTTGACATAATAAAACCAGGAACCCACAATAACCAATGCAACATGGGGTGG